ATTTATTAGTAAACATGTAGCTATTTTACATCTGTCAAACATAATGTTGCTGGGAACCTGAAAACAATTCGAACAGTAAGTTAAAGAATGTGGATCTGAGCGAATATCATCGTGGTATGGTTATAGCAAAGCCTGGAAAGTGAGGTATTAAACGACTGTAGCACACCTATGTTCAGTCGAGAGTTTTTCGCCTCAGGTAGATGATCAGGCTCAGTAAAATACTGAAGGCGTTTCATGTATGAAGCCCAGCGGCATACATGTCACAATTCGAAAATAATGCAAACCGCCTGCTACACTATAGTACTTTACTGTCCGTAAGATTTACGTTCATGAACGTCTGCCCTTCTTACATCGACATGAATTTTAGAACCAGTTCATCGCCCAGTCTAAAAAGCCTTTTGGATGGAAGCCCGTAACGTGTTTTAAAGTATATATTTGTTTTAAACCCGGGAAATTACTTCAATTTACTACAGGATCTTGTCGAAAAAATGGTCAAAAGTGATATCAAGCAGCAAATGGCAACATCGCGTTGAAGGTTGGAACCCTAGTTTATTTTCTATATATTTTTGCCGTTTATAGTAAGGTGAAATAAATCAGCTACACAAAATATCAAATAGGATACATAAAAGAAGCGTAAGAGTTTATGCTGCAAATTCTGTCAATGCCATTATAACATTAAAAAATGTAACGGAATGATGAAGATCTACAGAAATGCAAATCCTCTGTGTCTGTGCACTTTGCCGCAGAACATCGTCGGCAACTTTTATTGTTCGTCTGTTCGGTTTGGAACCACTAATAGCCCTGATAACGAGGGCAACACTGCTGGTGGTGAACAACCCCAAAAATATGTTCAATTAAGCATGGTGTGGTCGGTGTAAATCTTGCGACGTTGCTCATGCACCTTCGCCATCCATCGGTTTTGGCGCATTTCCATTCTCCTGAGTACGCCGTCAGCTGATGACATGCGTTGACGAGGTCGAACATCGCCGGGGGTCAGCTCCGAAGGAGCTGTGGCAAATATATTGTCCTAAGGAAAGCATACATCAATTGAGCAAAGCAGTGTCGAAGTACGCAGTGAGACGAAAGAAGATAAAACATGCATCGCCACTAACGCGTATATGCGTAAACATGCAAACCCCAAACAAACCAACGCTACATACACAACAGTAAAGACTGACAGTAGCAGTCAGCAGTAAAGACCACTATGCTGTAAAGTTAAGGAAATCAACTTTCGCTAAAAACTCCAAAATGAGTAGCAAGATATGAGTAAGGGTCACTGAGAACTTAAAGTATCCCAGTTAGTGTGAACTTAAATTGCACAGACAGTTGTGGTTTTCTACCTAAACGACAATCCCTTGAAACTTGATCATTTCATTCGGCGTTGAGTTCTTTCGCACAACACTGCCTGATCGTAGCCAATTTGTAAGTTAAAAATATACCGCTGTCAAAACCAGCGAACGAGTCCTACAGCAACAACACGGCACGCTATGGTAATGGGTAGGTCGTTGCAAGAAGAACTGATCATGGCTGAACTAGTGAGATATTGGACTGATTTCAAGGGAATAAACGGTCTATAGAAGGACTTCCAGATCGAAGGCCACTTTTGTGTCACTAGCGAAGAATAGTCAGTTATTTAAAGCACTGCATATAACTACATCATTCAGTCACAGCGTATACCTCCATTTCGTTCTCATACACTGGGTGTCTTTTACTTGCATCAGCAAGATAATTGACAGTTCAATGTATCTTCAGATGTAAACTGCTTCTTTAAATACTGACCACAACTGCAGCAATTTGGACATGCGATGAGGATGCTATAGGAGAGATTCAGAGGTGCACTTTCTTGACAAATCCAAAACAACAGGTCAGCGGCAGAACTGAACGAAACGGGTGGATTATGAAGATGACCTGTGATTGCCTTGAAATACAGCCTACAGAATACTATAGAGGTTGTCCGTTGTCAAAGCGTCAGGAAGCAGCTGCCACCGCAATAAAAAGAATATAGGGCTTTGAAAATGATTGAACAAATGAATCAGGAGGAAAAACGTGAAACTGTAATTCTGTTGAATCAGTTATCAGGGTTAGGAGGTAAGTATGTGTGCCATGCGTGCAGCTTACGGTGCATCTGAAAGGTTCATGTCAAACGGCCTCAAATTGAATTTTTAATATACCTCAAGCGGCTTAAAGCTATAGATAAAGTAAGCCACGACACGCCGTCATTACACTCCAACTAAGCATTTAAAAGTTTTAGACATGCATTCGGTAGTGTACAGCGGAATGCTGCATGCTCAAAGGGTCATCAAACACTCAACGTATTGTGCCAAGCGCGATAGACGGCCAGATGGAGAAGATGATTTCATAGCCTCCCTAAACTCTAACGGTCGCTAGCGAAGCAAACACACTGCAGTGCAAACGACACGATACAAAAAACAACCAGGCACAGAAACCAGTCGTACCTCACTGTTGTACTGATGTTCATAAAAGTGGCCCCTTCGAGGGTATTTCAGTAACGGATCCAGAAACAAAAGAAATAACATGTAAACGACCAGCACACAAATGACGCAAATCATCAGTATAACCACCACCTGGAACAAAACGACGCGATGTAGATCAGAAACGAAAACTTACATCTTTGAAGTCGCCGTTCTCGTCGCCCGTGTGGCGCTTATACGCAAACGAACTAGTCGTCTGATACGGTGACGACGATGCGGCGCGATGGACAACAAAGCGCTTAAGCACTATTAGCCAAACCATGTACACAATCAGTACACAAATCACGATCAACACGAAACAGATAACAACCTAAACAAGACGGATTGTAAACCACAAACAAAGCAATGAATAACATCATACTGGAATACAGCAAACAAAATATTTGCATTTACTGCATGCACAGCAAATGAAAATAAATAAAAAATAGTTCAAATTAACTTATAGCAAAAATGACTACTTTATATCAAAACACAAATGAACCCTAAGTTAAAGATGTGAACAAGATACTGACCATTCGCTCGTTGATTTTCATAGCCCACCATTTTTCTGAAATATAGGAGCAGCAGTTTATGTTACCATCTGATCCTAGGTTTACTTAATGACTACCTGTCAAAAGGTTTTATGAAGAAGGTCGGTCTTCCTAAAGTCATTCGACTGGCATCCTGACACGCTTACAAAATTATCGCAAATGCGATCACTGTACCTTAATGAACAATTGCCCCACCAAGTAATTAACGTTATCTCAGATGGCCTGGCCGTACTATATAGCTTCTGAAATGTCGTCACACCAATAATTCCCCAAAGTAATTTCACTTTGCCTGTGGTATAAGCGATCATATTGATTTTTCAGTCAATGGCTAACATTCATAACCACAAGATATGACAGATGCGTGGATGAAAATAAAGGAAAAAGATATCACAGTATGAAAAATAAAATAATATCGAACATCATTATGAGTATGAAAAAGAAAAACGAACAAAATCCGGAAAAATAAGAGAAAGAAATAAAAAAGACGAAGACGAACATCACA